ACCTCACCCCCTCCCCCACCCTCTTCGTCTTTGCTCCCTTTCATCCACCATCACTTTTTACCTCGTCGTCTTCCATTTATCACAGCTCATCCCTCTCCCCCCTCCTCCCCTTAACAACCCGGCGGGAAAAATCGAGTTTTACTAATCGTTGAACCTCACGATGGCAAACGATGTACTGAATTCAACAAACTGTACAGCAAGAAACGCAGCCCTCCTGAGGAGTTTACAAAGTTTATGCATTACAACTCAAAAAATTTTAATGAACACATCATTCCGCCTGGCATACGGCAGCTATTAAAAATTTAAAATATTTTCCATATGAGAAGCAGACTTAAAAGGAACTCTAATTCAAGTAACGATCAGAACAACTTACAAAGAGTAGCTATCAGAAGTGCGACGAATGAGGGCGCGGGAAAGGACAACGACAAGGAAAGAAGGGAGAGGGGTGGTGCGTGTGTAATATGCGATCAAATGGACAAAGAAATGTTACACTGTGTTCATTGTGACGGAAAGGCGTTAAGCATGACGGAGATTAAACTTCCGGTCCTTCTCCTCCGGGCACCAACATCGTAATATGGTTTCCATTCAACAAAATGGTATCCAGCTTCGTGACTCGTTTTCCATCAACTGTATTTTCATACTCAACAACGTCCTCTAATACCATATTCACGTAATCGTCGAAGCCCGTTAGTGTTCCGACAATCTCTTTTTCACCTGCAAATCCAATGCTCGCATGATTTTTTAACAACCAAACCAGGAATGGTATGTGTCACTTATGGCATGCAAATTCAAAAGACTTTTTTTTGTGAAAAATCGTCCGATCCCTACAGATACGCCCAATCTTTCTAGCCCACACTTTCTAATTTCGAATACTGCGGCTTCAGTATAAGACTGAGGTAATTAAAGTAGCCAGTAATTTTTATTAAAAAGCAGCCGGGTAACGGCAGCACTGTCGAAACAGTAGCTTAAACGAACGTAACATAAGGCGGAATTGAGAGCCGGTAGACCGATCTGTAA